GATCAGCAGGTGTCTACCAGCCAGAAGACGCGTGGGAGGTGAGAGAACGGCTTTGGGAGAGAAGCGGACCCTGAAATCTCACACACACAAAACTGCAAATCCATCGGGAGGCAAGTCCTGTCACGATTGCTGGTGTGTATTTTTTTAAAAATATGTTTGAAGTTCAAAAAATCTTCCAATTTTGCAAGTTTGTCTGGAAAGCAAAGTTGCGGATAAAGGTTTGGGTGTTTATTTACTTTATTCTTTAAAATATGTTTTTTTTTTTTTAAAGTTTCATTGGGATTTCCTGATTTCCTTGGACATGTTCCAACATTGTTTGGAAAGAAAAGCTGTTGACAAAGATTAGGGACTTGCAAATTTAATATGCCCAAGGAAATGCGACAAAACAATCAAACAAAAGAACAATTGTGACAAGACTTTGCCATTCTCCCCCCTCCCCCCATGGCCTGTGCAGTCTTTTTTTGTTGTTTATTTGTTTCTATTTTTCCTTGGACATTCAAATTTTCCAATATTGCAATTTTGAACATTGTCTGGAAAGCAAAGCTGCTGACAAAGACTGGAGTCAAACACACCTCATACAAGTTATGAGGGGACACTGGCAACAAGTTTTTGATTGAAACATATTCAAAAACGCGCCCCTCTCACTCCTTTCTGTAAAAAAACATCTTGCAACCTCAGAACTGCGCTTCACTTCAAGCACCAAAAATCCCTAGACTAGAAACATTATATAGCGTCGGAAAACACAAGCAGGCAACTCACTGGACATTGAGGCCTTACCTTCAAAGCAACTGGAACTGCCGGCAAAGTTTCAGAATCATTCAGAATCTACATTTCCTTTCTTGAGGTGAGCTTTTCCAAAGTGTGTGCAGTACAACCACGCTGCAAGGCTTTTGTTAATTGACACTTAATTCGTGAACCAAGCGCAATGGAGGTGTAGGTGATCACCATCATCGCGCCAATGTCAGCCCGCTTAATCAAAATGTCCCACCACCAATATTGCGGCTCATAGCCCTGAATGAAATACCTGAAGCAAAAACGGCAGAAGCATGAACGAACCAAGGCAAACCGCAAATATGCACACACAACTGCACAAACAATAAACAACACATTCAAGAAGGTGAGCGTCAATGAGTCAAAATTATGGTGAGGTACCCATATTTCCGGTAATTCTCCGGAGTTTGCCTGTCCTCCAAGCTGACCAGCCTCACCGCCAATGCAATTGGAATCCCCACGCACCAGCCAAGCAGTCCGCAAATCGCAACGGCAGCTGATGGGAGATGATCGCTGGACCCACAACGCACATCTGGGCTGGGCAGCAGTCGACTTACAACCGTCTCATCCTCCAAGATAGGCACCTTTGGTTCAGGGCCAACGCAAAAGACGTTTCACCAAAGTTCCGCAAATAGGTTGCTCGCAGGCGAGGTGTTCTTGTGGCAAGTGCCAGGCAGGGTTCGTAAGGTTTGCGTCTGTGGCTCCACTGTTGTTGCTCACTGACCTTCACGTAGTCTTCATGGTCGACATGGCCTTGTTTGTGGCAGGTGCGGGAAATTAGCTGTCCTGGGTCATGGCTGTTTGGCGACTGCGCTCTTGGTCACTTTTCGTGAGATGCGACAAAGAAACATCATGTTTCGGCGGTCTCATTTCGGCTTTTCGTGGCAGCAGCTTTACTTGGATGATCTTGATGTGCAAATCTTGTGGCATGTTGGCAGGTGCAGTGATTCATGATTCTAAACGCACTGGCGCAACGCGAGCCTGCAAGTGCAGTTTTAAATGCCGGCCGCAGCACGCTGTGACGCTTTAGCATGCCGCGAAAAATTGCAACGTCAACCATGAGGATAGTTTGGTGCAGGTTTTTTACAAGGTCGGCCAAAAAGGAGCGACAGATGCGAACCCTGCCACAAACCCTGCTCTAAACAGGCCGTAAGAATTTCTTGGTTGCAAGCAACTTGTATGTGGAAAGACCCTCTCACCATGTCGACAATGTCTAGGTCAGTTTCAGCCAGGGCACACACCACAACATTTGCAGAAATTGAGATAAAAGTGCAGGCCACAAAGATAGAAACCCAATCCACACAATGGGCAAGCTCTGAATCACTAGCTTTGACAGTGGGGCTTTGGGCGAGAACAAGCCAAAGTCCAACGAATCCATGGAGTTGTCTTCTTGCGACACTGGAGCTTCTGGCTTCTCTTCAGCCAAGTTGACTTCCGCCGCTTTCCTTCGGAAGCTGGGAACCATTCCAACACAAGATCGGCTCAAAACATCCCCACCCCCATGAGGGGAAAAACTTTCCATTGTAACTTACATTTTCCAGGCAAGACGTAGAACATGTAACATTAATATTACATTTTCCAGGTACCAACATGCCAGAAATGGCCTAAACTAACAAACATGTAAGTTACATTATTCAGGACAATGTAAGCTACAATTTTGGGCCGCATGGGAAAGCATGCACAAATTGCGCAAACATGTTACATGTTAATTTTGGCTTGTCCCAGGTTCTCAGCTAACACTTTCTTTTTAGGTATGTCCGTCTTGAGGCTTATCTTCTTTCTAGATGTTGTTTCTCTATATAGATTTGCTGGTGCTCTCCCGAATTTTGGCCCAGCTTACGTTTTCTCTTTAAAGTAGGCATGTCCTTCTTCAGGTTTATCTCCTTGCTAGCTATTGTTTCTCTAGATTTGCTGGTGCTCTCCCAAGTAATCCCAGGTTTCCAGCTGACTTTAAACATATGTAGGTATGTCCTTCTTAAGGCTTATCTCCTTTCTAGCTGTTATTCTCAGATTTGCTGGTGCTCTCCCCAATTTTGGCTGATCCCAGGTTCCCAGCGTACACTTTCTCTTTAAAGAAAACGGGTATGCCCTTCTTAAGATATATCCTTAAGATTAATATAGGTATGCCGTTCTCACATCCAATCATTCTAAGTTACATTTATGTAATCTATATTTACAGGGGGTACTTGGACCTCAATAAATGCAAGTTACATTTTTCCACCACCCCCTCCGTCTCTGTGTTTGTCTGTCTTCTCTGTCAGTGTTTCCCCAGATTCGCCCAGGGATCTCCAGTCAGCGCATGTCTGGGAAAAGGGGGTCATAATGTAACTTTGAAGCCTTCTATGCCTTTGCTATATATGTTTTAGTAATGTCCAGCCACCCCTCCGCAAAAGCATGCAAAAGCTATGAAACTGGACTGGGGGGGGGGTAAGTTACATTATGTTACATTTATCATCCCCCCAAAAAGGCAAGTTACAATAGAAAGGTCCCCCCTGTTTTTGGTGCTTAAGGGGGTGGTGATCTCAAAACGAACTGTCACAGCATTCTAGCCCGAACCCACTCTCAAGTTCCTCATCCAAGAATCGGCTGATGCACAGGCGAAACACTGATGCGTGCCTCATCGTCGTCTGATGAATCAGTCTGAGGGCCTGCGTGGGACGGAGAAAGGCAAAACTAATGTTCGTTTTGCATTCAGAGGCATCTCAAACCGAAGAACAAGTGCCCGAAAGACCAAACTTTGTACGTATTAACCAACCATTCAACATGACGGCTGAACCAAAATCCTGAACGAGCATGATAGCAGGCTCAACGAAGTAACATGTATATTTGTATAATGTATATAAAACTACATGTGGACAAAGGACTTGAAAGGTTGCTGCACGCCTCGACCCATTCTTTTTGAGTTCATTGCGTGCAGTTCAAAACAGAAACAAACCAGGAGACTGAACGACGCCAACTGCGAACCACTGGGTCGAACTATTGAAGACAACTCTACAGGGAAGGTGTGTGACGTGTGGCGTAGTGAAGACCGTTGTGGTATTGAGCCATTGAGCTGCGCACTTTAGCTGCCCGTCTCAGGCAAGCCAGACTGAATCATCATGGGATGTGCGGTGTTCCAGGAACACTGCTAGTCACGTGCTTTGTTTTGCAACATGTGTCGGCAAACTTTGCAAATAGCAATCGATTTGAAGGCACAGCTGCAAATATCGCACTTGAGCGTGTTTTTGAATCAGTGTTTTCAACCGGTGCCTTCAAGAACACACTAAACAGCGGTACTCCGTGCTTTGTGCCTTGCCAAAGTATCGTGCAACCCTTTTGGCCTCTGAAGTGCAACAACAAACTCCACAAGTGTGCAAGTTGTATACAAAGAAAACAAATGCCATGCGCTGGCGGGCCACTGATTCGGGCCACTGATTCGCTTATGTATATATATATATATAATCGGGGTTGGTATTAAGTGGGTACCTCGAAAGGTGTGATTTTATAGTGCTAAAATGCTGGGACCAACCCCCCTCCAATGAGGGTCACTTTTTGACCTATAAAATTGAGGATAACATAGGAAAAGAGCCCAAATACAAGATTCAGCTCTATTGAGGGTTTTTGTCTATAAAACTGCAGGTCCCAAGGTACTCCCGAACAGGTGTTGTCGAGTTGTAGTCTGAACCTGGTTCTCTGTAGAATCAAGGGCCATGGGTCTCAAAAATATCTATTAAACACCTGTTTCTGTATAGAATCAAGGTCCATGGGTCTCAACAAAACATAAAACTCCAATTTCATTGGAAGGTATTGATTTGCCAGTTGGTAGGACCACAAATCTATAGAGAAGACAGCAGGTGTTATGGAGAGGATTGGAGAGGTAAGGATCTGTGATGATCTCTGATTTTATAGTGTCCAGATGTGTCCAAAATGCTGTCCCCAAATCATCCACTTCTCCCCTGTCCCAAGTCATCCCAAGCCGTCCAGAGGCTGCAAATGCCTGCAAATTGTTTTCCATTCCCCAGGGTTCTTTTGAGCAATCCCAATTGGAATCAAGCCAAGAAAAAGCAATCTCTAAAGAATTGCAGGTCATGACATCCAAAATCATACAAATCATTCTCTATAGAATCGGTATGCCCAAGACATCCAAAATCCCTTCACTATACTTACAAGCCTCTATAGAATCAAGCTTGTAAAAAACAACAATTCTCTATAAAATCGAGGCTCTTGAAGGACAGGACTTTACAAGCTCCATATGAGCCAAGAAAAAGTGGCTAAAAAAATGGTCTTATCGGGGACCCAACCCCCGCGATTCTATAGAGGAAATACCATCCCCTATTATATATATTTGCTGTTGCCCTGTCATGTGTCATAATTTGCTGCTGTCTCTTGTCGAACTGGATTGTGATTTTCGTTTCTGAGTTTCAGACTGGGAGTCAAATGAGCTGTGACTCCGAGGGATCAAACAGTTCAGGAGGAATCAACAACAGATCTGTTTCTCCAGTTTTTCCGGATTCTGAAAAAACTAGCGTAGAATTCATTGGTAGATACAGTGTGAGTACTACAGTAGATTAGGAAGATCAAGAAGGGGGTGCCTGGAGAAAACCTGGGTAGGATCCATGCCCGAAGATTGCAAAGACTTGTTCTCGAGGCAATCTCGAGGCAATAGTTGCGTTCCACTTCTTAGCAGCGTTCGAATATGTTCGAATCACTTATATAGATCATCGACGATTTGTATGACCTGCCTTCACAAAAACAACAAAAACACACACACACACATCAGGGCGCATTCCCTTCTACTTGCAAAACTTGACTTTGGGGGCCAACCCCAGAAACAATCATGGAAAGCACAAATCGTCTCACCGCAACCTTGCCCAATATTATCATATCGAAAAAAGGGGCTTGAGGCAACTCGTTTTGATTTTCTGTCTACTGACCTCTGCAGAAGAACGGGGTACCTTCTAGGCTGGGTTCAGGGGTCACATGAATTCATTTCCACCAACGACTCCAACGAGGGCCATACCGTTCGCATGACACTCATTCAGCACAGAGGATTGTGGAGTTTTGCTGGAGAAGGGTGCCGAAAGTTCCTTATCATGCTGCTCGTCCCCGAATACTCTAGCCAACAACCTGGCCGGCTGGAACAGTGCCTGTTATGGGTCCATCATCACCCAGACCAGCGTCTCTCAGCTCTCCATTTTCGTCTTCTTTCCTGCAAACGATGCCCGGTGGTGTAAATAAAACGCCGCAGCATCCCATCTACTTATGAAGCGATCAAAAGCATTCAAAAGCAATGTATAGAATGTCAAAAGGGTCATTCAGATTCAGTTATCAATCGCATCTATTGAGACAAGCGTCGGAGGGTTTGCAACCGGTTCCCTATTTTGTTCACCCCTTTGGTTGGCTCGAGATATGACGTTGTCAAGCAAAGCATTGAAATCTTCGCAATCGATCAAATCCGAGATCTCAATTCGAGAGATCTCAGCCTCGCTACATTTGGTCAAGGAAGAAAGCTCCGATTCCGCAGCCCTGAGTTGACAGGCTTTCAAAAGCAACGCTCTATTCGTCGTCACTGCTTTTCGCAGGAAAATGTTTGGCTCGGCACAGGCTTCCTCCAAAGCGGACAAAATCATATCGAAAACTCCTGACTGCTGGATCTCATCCCATGATAGGCCAGAATCTGCTAACAGTGGCACCAAAGCATCTTGCAGTCTGCTCACAGCTTTTTCCCTTGCCTTCTTGTTCTTATCCGCCTGGTTGAACACAATGCCACGCTGATTCGCAAGTGGCACAAGACCATGTACAACAACATATGAGAGGACTATAATGCCAACTGTCAGTAGAGGCGGAAGGCAGATTGAGTATATACCTGGGGCCATGTTCCTCGCGGTAAGATCGCCCGGAAACAAATCTTCAGCTGCGCAAGATGCCCCTAAATCCACAGAAACCAGAACAGGTTGCAGCGAGAGGAAATGAAAAATTGTTCTCATTGCGCGTGTGATTTCTGGTGGCCAGCTCAAGGTTTGAAAAGCCTCATCCTGGCCCTGGCTAGTTCTGGAAAAGCTCAAAATACGCAGTTGGTCAAAGCGAAATGTCGCAATAACAGAGCAAGCAGCAAGCCACTGGCTTCCAATGCGAATCATGCTTGTGTGCAGCTTGCTGCTGCCCCGCACTGCGGCAGTAGCTGCCAACGACGCAACAATACCTGAGCGAGCGCATTACAAATGCCTTGCCTATAGCAATGCACAAAATGAGCCTAGTAATGATTAGTAATATCCAGTACTAATACTGGCTACCAAGCGAGTGGGGAAACCCAAGCCAGTTTTGCTGAAATTTGCTTAGATACAGTTGATGCACGCCTTGGAAACCACGTCAGCCAGGATGAGGAAAAACAGGCCCACCGCACCATTTGGGCAAGGTTCGCACGGTTCTTGGAGAGATGGTCTTGCCCACCCTGCAGGGCATTCCCCGCACAGCATCCCTGTGGAGCCTTCAGCGCATAGGTTCCCATATTTTCCGACGCATTCGGAATTGAATGATCCAACAGCTTGCTTGACCTGACACAGCACGTCACCTCCAAGGCAGGAACTGAGCCCATCCCGCCCCACAGCGTTACACTTTATTGCTGTGAGGGCGCCAGTTTGAAAAAAACCGGCTTTGGCAATGGGAAGAGCATGAGTTCGCACTGGATTGGATTCCTCGTTCGTCTGGTTGCTTTGGATCAAGCTACCGGGACAAAGCAAACGGTCGGCATATGTGGCGCAGCTGCCACACCGTGCAAGCTGATTTGCACTGTCAAGGACTGCATAATGATCAAGTGTACAAAAACAGTCCAACAAACTGGTGGAACCGTTTTCACTTTCAGCACCCGTTGGACACTGTAGTGGACACGATTCTTGGTTGCCGTCGGATGGTTTGTAATGCCCCGGAGGGCACAAGTGACAGCTCAAACCTTGAGCATAACGTCCAGGTTGGCAAATGCAGTCAGATGGAAAGCTGGCTCTTCTTGAAGACGTGGCCCCATCTGGGCAAGCAACAGCTTCCCCAGTGCCAGGGCAATAGAAACCCTCAATGCAAGCCATACAGCTGCCGTTCACACCATACAAGCCTGGCTCGCACTTACATTCAAATACCGATGTGGCTCCACTTGATTGTGTGGTAGCACCTGCCATGCAAGCTGTGCAAACCAGCGATGTATCTGCTCCAACCACACCACTCCACCTGCCATGGGGACATTTCTGGCACGGCATGTTTCCCACATCGATCTTGAAGTGACCTGCTGGGCAAGCAGTGCAGGAACCGTCCTTTAAATAAACACCAGTAGAGCACACGCAGTGGGATTTATTGCCAGAGGTGTCCTGCTCAGTCGTATGGTTGGCCGGGCAAGCTTGTCTGTGCGACTCTCCATTGCAAAAGAATCCAACACCACATGCCTCACATGCTGCAGGGTTGCTGGGCTGCGTGTTGACAAAGCCAGGCATGCATGTGCAAGATGTCAGTGACACAGCACCATCTTCCAGGGTTGTTGACCCTGTGGGGCATGCAATGCATGCACCCATATTCCAATAGTATCCCTTCTGGCACGCGCATTGAGACAAGTCACCTGAGCAAATGCAAGTGTTTTTGTTGAGTTTCAACACCTCTGGCATGCATGCTCGTGACATTTTTCCCCGACAGGTCCTCTTTTGAGTCTGGACGAAAGGTTGGTAGGTGGATGCTTTGTTTGCATGCGTCGTGGTTTGGCAAAATGTGTCCAATTCGCATGACATAATAGGTTCCAACGTTGCAGTTTCGTGTTGTATAGGCTTATAATATGGTGGAGGTTGCTTCGATTTCACTGCGCAGGTGCAGGAACTTGTGCCATTTACAGAGTTGTGCAACTGGCCTCCGACCCATTTTAAGCTGTGGCGGTGCTGCCTTTTTCAATGTACTGTATGTCAATGTGTAGTAAATTAAAGCCACCTGCGAATTCTTACGGCAGTTGCTACGTCGTGTGCAACTCCGGAGGCTGGGGGATGATCCCTTCATATCCCTTCATATGAAACTGGCAATAGGTCGCAAACGTTTGATTATGAGATGTTGCTTTGGAATGACCCATGGTCGAAGTGGGTCGACTCATTTGATGCTGAATGCGTCAGGGCCAACCTCAGTTGCATGTGCCCCTCACTGCTGGCAGTACTGTAATGTTGATGGAGCCCGACAACGTTCGTAGCACTTTTGACTAATCCGCCATCAAGGACAAACAAACAGACCGACAAACATCCGATAGACCGACAGAGGGACAGTCAGGAAATCTAGCGAACAATAGCCACGGGGACTTGGGAAAGGCGATGGCAACTTGCAAACCGACAGACTTTGCAATGCCGTCAGAAAGCAACGTGGGCCTCAAGAGATGGACTTAATGCTACAGCATGCTACAGCCAGAAAGCGTAATATACTGTGCAATTTTTGCATTCCGGCCACCAGCCCGGCCACGGGCACCGGCCCCGGCCCGGGCACCGGCCCGTCACCAGCCACCGGCCCGCCACCGGCCAGTGGGCACCGGCCACCGGTCAACGGCCACGGGTGAGAATGACATGACTTATTCAAAACGCGAATCAAAAACGGCTACATGAAACCTATGAACGTGAGGTGTTAGAGCAATGCTGTCTAATTGTGCCTACGGTAGCACGCAGTGTCTTCGGCATTAAGAATGCATCTCCGCATTGGGAAGGCTCTCACTCGCGCGCGCAAAAATCATCTCACTCACGCGCGCATGACTCACTTGCGCGCGGAGCGACTCAATGGCACCTTCCTCCTCTACATTGACCTTGGGTGGCTCACACAAGGTATGCGCCGGTGCCTTCCTCCTCTAAAATTTACTTGGGGCAAAAGGTCTGCGCCGTTGGAATGCAACCTTCCTCCTCTAAATTGTGCCCTCTGATGGCTCACAAAAGGTATGCACCGGCGCCTTCCTCCTCTAAATTTGGCCCCGGGGTAGCTTACAGACTTACAGAAGGTATGCGCCGTTGGGCTGGCACCTTCCTCCAAATTTTGCCAGCGGACAAAAGGTGTGCGCCGTTCGAATGGCACCATCCTCATTCCCCCTTTACATCTTTTCACTAGGGTAGCTCACACAAGGTAGGTATGCACTGGCGCCTTCCTCCTCTAGATTTGACCCTGTGGCTCACAGCAAAAGATATCTTCATCAACATTTTACGCTGGGTTAGAAGGTGTGCGCCGTTGGAACGCCACCTTCGCCTTCGTCCTCTAAGTTTTACCATCCGATGTCTCACAAAAGGTATGCACCGTTGGACTGGCTGCATCCCTCGAATTCAATTCCACAAATCCAATCTCCGCTGGTAGTCCTTGGATGTTGGGCTCCGCACTTCCAGACATGTCAAGACAAGGAAAGTGTCAAGCGACATCCTGCCTTCTCAACAGTCGTCTCTCTTTGTTTCCCTGTTTTTTTTTGAACGCCGTGTGACACACTCTTCAACAAGATTGGACCTTTCAGAGAACCAACCAGTCGAGCCGCGGGGATAATTGGGTAAGGGAAAATCAGCACTGTTCCACTCTGAAGGGATCCATCTGGTGTGACACTTCGAAACAAAGCGCAAATTTTTCGAAGGACATGGTGGCCCGATCTGGCGCGACCCTAGAGGCAAATTGTCACAAAGGAAGAGAAGCCCTTGCCCAAGTTCCGGATTGAGTGCTCAATAGCCTAAACCAAAGCCAGTCATGGCGCCCCCATGGACAAGACCACGCGACGCTCCTGCTTCCAAATGCCAGGATGAGCTTCATGAAAACCCCCGTCACTGACCTCATGCAGGATGTCACCAAAAGAGAAGCTATCCAGACCCTCAAGGTTCTCCCCGTCTAGCCTAGCAACCCTCCAGCTTTTGCAGCTGGGTCGGGCGTCAACGGCTTCTCCAGACCTAAATTTTCAACCTTCGGATTGCGAGCCAATGCCTCCCACATCCTCTCACCAAGTCTCTTTCAAGGACCCCTTGACAAACACCGTCTCCAACCTTATCCACAAGGAGAAAACATCCGATGGCTTTGAAAAGGGGCAAAAGGCCAGCTATCCACTCCAACTCTCTATGGACTGAAGGCAAGAGCCTGGCTGCTTAAGTCTTGTTTTGGTGGCAAAAGGCGTTCTGCCTCTTCGTGCGCTTTGAGACTAAGCGCTCTCAGACGCTTGGCAATCTTGTTGAGGCCTGCGTTGACGACCGTGGTGGGCAGCCGATGACTGCAAGATTGTCAACGTATACCGCAACTGCGACATCTCCAACTGTTTGAAGTTGCACCAGATTACTCTCATCGCTGATCACATCTTTCACCTCGAACCCACAACTTTTAATACTGTTCATCAACGCATCCTGGCAAAGCGAAGCCCCCAGCCCAACCCATTGGGAGTACAGTCAGGTAGGGGATGACCCGAGTGCCCGGCCTCACCGAAGCCTCAACAGCTGGACCAAGTCATCAGTACTTGTAAGGTATATAAAGCATTGGCAAGGTCACCAGAACCAATGTGGAACTGACTACCTTCGAGGATCTCCAGACATGTAAAAGAGTCCGCGGGGGGGAGGTCAGTACATCAATGAAGCGCTGGTTGACGACCCGGTGTCAGAGATCAAGCGTTGCTTTCCAGTCTTCTTTGCAAAGAAAATCCCAAGAGCTGGTTGTTGATCTTGTTGTTCGTGCCAGCGCACCCAAAAACCAATCTCCGTCTGTGAAGCTCTCGAAGAGAACCTGCGTACTCCTGTTTGTTGTGCTTGGGAATGGGATCGATATAGGGTTTCACTGGCCTGTCATCCCTACAGGTCTAAACATTTTCCCGCCAATTCGCAGGCCATTCATGGTCGGCCAGGCCAAGGCAGTCTTCCAAGGGGGCAGGGCGACTGGTGGCCTCAAGCCAAAACACTAGTGCGGCCCTACGTCACTGCGATCAACTTGGTAAAGCCGCGACGAAGAGCACAAAATTTGCGCTCTCCCAAACGTCACCAACCTGGACCAATGCTATCAACACACCAGTCATGATATGAGTCGGAGATGTGCTGCAAAATCCCACGCTGTGCTCGAGCAGGCTTTCGTTTTGAAAAGTCAACGTTGCCGAGGGCCGCCAGGAAGACCGTCCCCATCAACTGCTCCTCCGAGACCAAACTGAGGCATGCGTGACAAAATTGACCAGCGTGAAACATCGAAGACCCCGCGTGACGCTGCATAGATGTGCCCGGTGCCAAAAAGTGTCACTCTCGTATTCTGCACTTGGTCCTACTCCAATCACCAACACTCCAATAGCCACCAACCAGGTAAGTAAGCTGAAATAATGGGAGGACAGGTCAATGACCCACAGGTAACCACACAAGCGGGACACTCTTCAGAGGATCGGAAAACCCCCAGAACGTCACACGTAGCGATCCCAATGGCGACACCAACAAGGCGAGAAGCTACCAAAAATCCCTGAGTCATTGATCTTGAGCAGGGGAACGCAAAGTGAACAGCAAGAGCTCACTTTCATTCATGAAGTACATTCAAATAGAACAAACACGGTATATCAATCTTTGGTCCCCGAGCAGGCTGCTGAAGCTACTCCTTTGCTTCGCAAAGCAAACTCAAGGTAGCCCTTACCAGGCTACCTTTCGTGACCACCAGAACCTTGAGAAAACTCAAGAACATTTAAAAAAAAAAACATTCAGAAAACACGCATACAATTGTTTCCACAAATCTTGGAACATGAGAGGAGTCCAGCCAAGAGTCTCTGACGATTCCTTTTTTTTTCCATGGTTTTTCCTCACCAAAAACCCGAGAAAACTCAACAACCAAAAGCCTTGAGAAAACCAAACAATATCTCACAGAAGTCTTGGAAAATGAGAGGAGTCCAGCCAAGAGTCTCTGAGGATTGTTCTTGCTTTTTTGTTTTCTTTATTTCGTTGTCCTATGGTTTTCATTTTGCAATCATCCAAATGTTCAATGACATTAATTACAATTCATATAGGTTAAGTCTATTGGAAACCAAGGTGCCACGTTGCTCTGAGTGCAAACCTCACATTATGATCTAACTTACTTCTGGATGCTCGCGACTGCTCAACATTCTTGCCGCAATAAAAACCTGGGGTTCACGCTGGCGTTAGGTGGCGTGGTGCTTGCGTAAGGGCAAGGCTTCTCCTCCGCATCCACTCCTCCAGGGCAATAATGGCCCGATGAACAATGCTGGCAGGAACTTTGCAAAGCTTCCTGATGCTCGTGCATGCCAGGCGGGCATACGACCTGCAGTTGGACAGCAATGGCACGGAAATCCTCAGGCGCGCTGCACTGATGAGTTTCTGGGCACCAGCACACCTCCACCACCTCCGGCGGACCAGTCAGGCTAACAAACCCCAAGTCCAACCCAAATAAGTTGAGCTTAGATTTGTTGTCCAAACTTGACAGATTGGAAGTGGACTGAATGACAATGGGCCGCTGGCCGAAGCTAACCGTTGCTTCTGCTGCGCCACATTTCTTCGTGGCCACCACATGATCTCTGCTGGAAATTCCGACCCCTCGCCAAAACACAATGCAATGAGACCCCAGTACACATTGGCTTTGCTGGTTGGAATATGGTCCTTCCACAATGAAAAAGCCAAAGGACTGCGTGCATTCGACCGCTTGCGAGCACAAACACAAACGGTAGTCACCCGGTTCCACAAACAAAAGTGATGAGTTTGCAGCGTCTCTCAATGCGAGCTTGTTGTCATCCGAGGCCCAGCCTTTCAAAACAATGTCAAACTCCTCTGAACAAGTTTGCTTCACTATCAAGGAAACGCTGGTCTGAGTTGCACTGTTGAGAAAACATTCGTGGCCCAGTTGACAACTTGCAACCATCAGTGACTGTAGTGGGGATGAAACATACCGCCAAACCTCGGACAAGTAAGTGGTGTTGAAACCTCCAAAGGTGAACAGCGCAGGCGCCTCAGAATCCCACACAACTGCATGGCCCACACGGCCAGATCCTAAGGAAGAGTGCGCACTCCAGGTGTTCGAGAGCAAGCTGTAGCTGGTGAAACTCGAATCATAACCCAAACTGCCGGTGTTGGTGTTGTTTTCAATACCTGCCAAAACCAGCATAGACATGGACACTGGATCCCAAGCAGCTGCATGCCCAGCTCTTGCATGTAGCGCTGAACTCGGGAAGAGTTCAGTCCACCTGTCCCCCCACGCATCATAGTGGTGGAGATCTGCTAGGTACTTGACTCCACTCCACCCACCAAGAACCAACATGGAAAACGTAACGGAGTCCCAAACTGCCGTGTGTCCGCTTCTTGGGCTGGGCCCTTCTGCGCCAGATGTGCTCCAAGAGTTGTCACGCATGTGGTAAAAATGCAAATCGGTCAACATAATGCCATTTTCACCACCATAAACAATCATGACCTGGTTCTTTTGGTCAAAAACGGCTGAATGCTTGGCGCGCCCAGCTGGCGAAGGGCTCATGACAAGATTCCAGGAGTTCATGTGCAACGTAAACAGCCAAAGGTCCGCGTAAAACACACCAAAATACTACCCGCCGAAAATGAACATCGACCCAGAAATGGAATCCCAAATTGCTGAATGGCCTGCCCTTTTGTCTGGGGCAGGGCTTGTGGGGAAGAGTTGCATCCATGTGCGAGAGCTCCACATGTAACGCCACAGGTCATTGAAGTAAAGGAACTGGCCACTGGCGTGTCCTCCAAACATCAGCGCTGACTCGCTTGCAGAATCCCAGATTAATGTGTGGTCTTGGCGTCCAGAAGGTCCTGAAATGGAGAAATCGACCCAGGCATCCAACTCACAGTTGACGCCTGCACCGCGTTGTGCTCAACGCAACTTAGTTGAAACAGGGCCCAATCAATCGCATACAGCACATACACGCAAATAAACAAAACACACACACACACGTACATATATATATATATATATCTGTGCGTGTGTGTGTGCACATATGCGTATGACTTCACACATGGTGTCATCACTCGTGTGGACCTGTGGAACGCAATTCTTCATAGCTCTCCACACTAGTTAATGGTTTTGTGTTTGCTATGTTGCCACTTCTGCTTCTAACGCCGCAGTGTAATTTTCATCTTGGTGGTCATCGCCGACCTCGCTGTTGCTGTTGTGGTTGTTGTTGTTGTTGTCCTTTGGTGGGTGTTCCTTCACAAGACTCAGCGCAACTAGTCCAAGCCGGCCACGCAGACCCGGACAAGGCCCAAACAAGACTGAGACCAGCCCTTCTTCCGAACAGAGAACTCCAACAGTACACTGTGTGGCGAACAAGGGAAGGACACAGGGCTCACAGCGCGGCCAAACGACAGCAGGAGGGCGCCAAAAGGACAAACTTCAGGGGCGCGGCAGGACAGGAGGACACCAGGAGGACAAGAGAAGGACAGGCTTTAAATCAGAAGATACTATATAAGAAGCGCAAGCCGGCAACTCATGATCCCACCATAGCTACAACCCCTCGCCCTAACCGGTTCAACCCGAGCCATCCCGAGCCACAGCCACCCAAATTTTGCATAATGAATTCGTTAATTACTGTAATGTGTACGTAGCCAGATCCTGGCCGCTAGAATGAAGTTCAGCGCGCCAAACCACCCCCATGAACATTTATACGGTTGAAAGGAACAGCTATGGGTTGAGGTCGCTTCCCGACGATAACCATCAATCCCTTAGGCCCGAGACATCTTCACGTCGAGGTGTCAGAAACCGGAGAATGACGCTGTCCGGGACCCAGGTATAGCAAGGTCCTAGAGAAGTGCGTATACACGCAATGTATCAATTTCATGAGCATACGATTTCGACTCCCTTGAAATTGCATATCTTTTTCAGGGCCCTACCATTCAACCATGCTCTAACTAGTCGTCACTTGTTATCATTTTGTGTTCCCCTTGTCTGCGGCTTCGCTACGCATCTGGGGTTGTGCCGTTTCTTTTTTTGGCTGCACTGTGCCACGGCATCCACACGTCTTTCACTCAAACACTGCTGGCACATCAGCATTGGAATAAGTGGCCGGTGTCTGCTATCTTGCGTCTTGAAACCTCTTTTGCAACATGCGCCTGCGTAAGCATTCTTTGGAATCCGTAGTGCAAAACTGAACTTGAAACATGCTGCTTGGTAAGCCTTCGGCAACTTTTGAACACACGTGTTGATTAGATTATGCGCGCCCCGCTGAGCAGCCTACGAGGCGCCAAGTTTGTCGTTTGTGTCAAGACCTCAGCTTTGCGCAGGCGGTCCTCATTGGTTTAGGACATAATGTAGGATCGTGATTAGTAAAGGAGGTCCCCGTTGGTCAACCACTTGGGAAGCTTACAAGTAAAGATTAGCCAGCTTCTAATTAAACATGACCAAGTAAGACTGGAAGCTTACAAGGACAAATATCTACAACAAAATGAACACACGAGACACGCGACAACACAGGAAGCTTACAAGTACACATTGCGTTTCTACAGTTGCACTTCTCCATACGGTGCTTCAAATCGGCCTTGTAGACTTGCAAGTGCCATGCGTGACACTGCTACTACTACTACTACTGCTGCTGCTGCTGCTGCTACTGCTACTACTATATCTACTACTAAATCTACTTCTACTACTACTACTAATACTACTGCCACAACAACAACAACAACCACTACTACTGCTACTGCTAGTATTAGAAATACTACTACTACTACTGCTACTGCTACTTGTACTACCAGTACCACTATCACTACCACTACCGCTGCCCCTACCACCACGACCGCAGCTCCAAACCTTGCCTGCCACCACTCTTGCAACGCAGTCATGGATGTTCCAACCTCTAAAGGTGCAGTTGCGAAGAGTCTGCTCGTTGCCCAAGCAATTCACCTCGTCTACCAAAATAGAGGGTAGTTCCGCCTCACCTGTTCTGTTTGTATACGCAGAAAAGGCTCCGCCTCCTGCCATGCCCAAATCTTTGCAAGCTGCAACAGCAGCCATGTCATTCCAGTCATCGTCACACACAAGGCCCCACAAACCATTGTACATTACTTCAAGCCGACCACTTTCTCCCAGTCGCAGGCCTTCCATTTGAGCAAGAGTTGGGGTGACAAAAACTTCCGTCGGAACCAAATTCATCCCCATCTCCCCAACTTCATCGCCAACTGAGGTAGTGCTTCCCGTCCCACGCTCTCCATTATCACTTCGTCCCCAGCACCTAACGGTGTCATCGCTGAGCAACGCACACGTGTATCCCCAGCCAACTGCCACTTGCTCAACTTCAAGATTGTCTAGGTCGATGGGAGGCAAACTAGATTCGGAGAATGCAACGTCGTCGACGCCCCCCTGGCCCAACTGGCCATGCGCCCCTGAACCCCAGCACTTCAAGGACCTGTCCTGAAGAATCGCGCATATGTGGGAACCAGCCGCATAAAGACCACCGTCAACCGTCAAAGGTCCTGCAACGATGTGGACAGCATGCATGCCGTTGCCAAGTTCAATGCAACCATCACTATAAATACCGGAGAGCCTGTTGTCCAGACCGTAAAAATAGTCACCATTGCCACTCTGCCAGCACTTGGCGCAGCCATCCTCAAGTACCGCGCAACTTTCTATCCCACCCGCAGTGATCTGAATGGCTTTACTGCCAAGGGTAACAAGGTTACCTTCAGCTTGAACGGCATTTTCCCAACATTTGACAAACCCATTTGAAAACAATGCGCAAAGGTGCATCTCGCCAGCCGCGAGCTGTGCAACCGACATGTTGCCAAGATCGAATGCGCCCACCCACGTCGCCCCGGAGCCCCAACACTTTACCGTTCCATCATCAAGCAAAGCACAACTGAACTGCCACCCTGCAACAACTTGCGCAGCTTTTGCCTTACCAAAATCAATCGTGTCACCGGGCGTGGCACCATAGCCATCACCCCAGCATTTCACGGCTCCGCTGTGAAGTATCGCACAAGTGTGTCTCGCGCCACATGCAACTTGCAAAGCACCCTCGCCCAGTTCTACAAAAGGAAACTCTCCGCCCATTTCAAAGGGTTCGTCGCCGATATTTGCTTCGCTGTTGTCTTCCTCCTGGCCGTAGCCGAGCCAAGGCCCGCCCCGCCCCCAACATTTCACTTGCCCGGTGGACATGAGCACCGCGCAGCTGTGCTGCTCACTTGCTGCAAGGGTCAAATATGGTTGCAAACCCGTTTGAGGCCACACATAGATCGAATCTACTGCCACCTCGGCATTCGAGATTGCGCCAGATGTGCAAACAAAACGTACCCTTTGGGCCTTTTTTGGGATGGTTTTTTTCTCATGCAACCATCTGCCTTGGTTGCCTCGTTTGTGCCACCGTTTCCACCAGCGGCCATCGCTCCAATAGAACAATTCTAGGGCAGTTGTGCTGTCCCCTTCCATGAAGTAAGCAAACTCCATGTAGAGGCCAGAGGTCGCAATAAACATAGGGCTCGTCAACTTCGCCTGCCGCAAATTGAGCATGGCAATGGGGAGACACATGCATCAAAACTATATACAAATATACTATATATATAGCAAATGTTGTATACACGCGCATGTTCTGAACACAGCATTGCGTAAATATTTTACCCATCCTTGTGAAAATTAACATGGTGGTCTTGGGCTTGGGCCACCCATTTTAATACAAAATCAGGAGGTGGGGGGATGATGCCAGTTGAAGCTTGCTCACATAGTTCATGAAGTCGCACAAAGGAAACATTGATATAGTGTCTCAGAAACTGAAAACGTCCCGCTACCGGAAAACGGTATCAATGAGTGGAAGTGCGACTGTAGGATGAATTTGTAAAAACACATTTGCAGGGCAATGCGCTGCTTCAGCCGTTTTGTAAAGACTCAATGATTGAACCCCCACTCACACGCACACAGGTATTGCCGTATGTTCACCAGCGCAAACTGACAGAGAAAACTAGACGACGAGTGGCCCGAAAGCATTTTTCATCACGTAGGAAGTCAGAGTGTGAGTTATCTGTTAAGTGTTCAGTGTGAAGTGTTTAAGTCGAGTGAGTTGAGGTAGTGTGAGGGTCTCTGTGTGTGTATCTATGTCCGTGTGTATATGAGTCTGTGTATGTGTGTGTGTTCGAGTAAGTTGAGGCAGTGCGTGGGTCTCTGTGTGTGATGCGGCCTCCCAAACCGCCCACCGGCGGCCAAGCGGTGACAGCCCAGTTGAGCTGCTGGTGAGGGGAGAAGC